CCCCCCCCCCCGAAGTCTGGTAGAGGCTATTCTGACAGGCTAACCAAGAAAGATGATAATTTATAGCATCCTGCAGGGTTGGACAAATTTTCAAAAATTCACTTGCCCTCTGCAAGTACAAGGTCATTTCCACTTGCCCGAACCATTTTTTCACTTGCCCAAAATATACATATTTCTATGCATTTTTACCATCACCAAGGAAATTATCTTATTTTGGAGTTTATAGTGTTGGATGCTTTATTTATCGAAATAAGGTGGTTTGACTTGCTCCAAACGCCGTAGCAGCTATACTTTGGATCCAAAAAATTTACTTGCCCAATCGGACAAGTACAGGGGGATATTCACTTGCCTGAACAGTACTTTTTGCCCTGGGCAAGTGGGCAATGGGACTTGTCCAACCCTGCCCTGAAATGAAAGGTTAACGCTCGCGCGGACACCACTCTACATACGTGACGTCACGTAGCTGCTATCTTCGTGTATAACATCCTGACAGGACGATAAAAAAGCTAATCATTGATAAAATTCTGTCGGCAGAAGATTAATACTTTCACTGGCACGTGTCTACAGACGTAACGTGGTGTACATGTGCCCGTCATTTCTGTTAGTACCAGAAGGCCACAGCAAGTAATTTTTATGGATGACATTGAAAAAAAAAACAAGAAATTTTGTTGCCCTCTGACAGTGGTCAACATGCCGAAAATGGGCAAAGATGTCTGTTGCCATGCCGGGAGGCAGATAACTGAAGAGAGGAGACAAGAAAAGGCTCTGATTTAATTTTTTGTTTCTTACTTTGATGCAGTGATATGTGATGCTGGCTGTGTATATGATGTTCGCATTGGATAAAACCATTTGTACAATGGTTGAGTCAACATTTTAAAATGTAGGAACCTTGTTTTTTCCGCCCGCCTTGTTTTTTTTTCGCCCACTCGCATTAGATTTGGAGTCGGCGGAGGATGTCATCCATAAAATTTACTTGTTGTGGCCTAAAGCCTAGGTATGGATGGCGTACACTTTATCACCTTTGTCAGACGATTATGTTTTTAGTAGCTTTTCAAAAACACTTTTTAAATATCATGGCACATCACTGGGACTGGTATAAAAACGTAGCAATACAAGAAGTAATATGCCATAAGAGAAAGAAATGAATTATAAAAGCCTCACAAAAAGCCCCAGTCGTATATTAAAAGCCTGCTAATGCTTAGGTCACATTACCAAACCGGGACCCGACCGGGCTGTTGGCATAACACTTCATATCAAGAATACACAGAAATAATTCCCATGATTATTACTGAAAACTTTTCTGTGTTTTGTTGTCTTTTATATAGTATTTTTCGTACCCAGAAGCTGCCCGGCCGGTGTCAAGCCAAATACATGACTCCGACACTACTTGGGGGTTTCCAATATACCTAAGACAAGGGGTGGGAGGGGTTTAGTCGTGATGTGGGAGGCTAAACCTAACCTAAACCCCAATCGTAAGTCTAACCCTAACCCTAACCCAAACCCCAACCCTAACCCTAACCCTAACCCTAACCCAAACCCCAACCCTAACCCTAACCCTAACCCTAACCCCAACTCTTACCCTAACCCTAGCCCTAAACACCTGACCTCTCACGTATGTGGCAGCTCAAGGATTTGGCTCAACACCGGGCCCCGTGTGGGAATTGTGACCTCAACATAAGCAGGCTAGACTCCGCGTGTCGCCCATGTTTGTAATGACATCGATCGAATCCTGGACTTCCTTTTGTTATCTTAGTTATTTGCCGTTCATATTGACTGGTTGTATAACGACTGTTATCATCAAAGTATGATGTGGTTACAGGCTGTCGGAATTCTCACGGTGTTTAGTCAATCAATGGGGGAAAATTACTGTATTATTCGGAATATAGACAACTTTCAATAAAAGTTTAACAAAAATTCGGTGTCAGTAAATTTTTCTTCAATGTGATGTTTGTTTTAAAATTCAGATATCTTCCTGTTAGGCAGTTTAATTGAAGGGTTACGTTTAGTGGCAACTTTTTTTTGCAATTTGACCACGCCAAAAATTTGAAGAGTCCAGTAAGAAAGTATAAATATTCAGGCGACAGCCCTCTACTCGCCAGTTCTGAAAGCCAAGGTTAACCTGTACGAGCGAACGTAACACACGGTATGGAACGGTATTTCATATTTCTTTAATCTTTCTATTGTCTTCTTTCTTTTCCTCCCCCCCTCTCTCTCTCTTTGCAAGTAGTGCAACTAGACAAATCGAAAAACATATCTGTTCTTTTAGCTACTATAACTGAAAAGCGAACGTAACCGTAACATACGGTATGGAGCGGAGTTTTTTTCCATTTTGCCCTTTCTGTGCATTTCTTTAATCCTACTGGTTTCTTTCTTTTCTTTCCCTTCTCTCTCTGTAAGGCCATGTTGATTTGATTATATGGATGACATCCTCTGGGAACCCCAAAACTGATGCGAGCGCGCGAATAAAAAAAAAGTTTTCCAAAAAAAAAAGTTGCTTTCATGAAATCTACGTTGTTATGAAGGTCGAACAAATGACACAGAGTATGGTATGGCGAATAATCTACTCTTTAAATTCATTTCTTTGCATTTTAGTTTTTTGTTTGATTTTGGCATTCTACGACGTTGGAATCGTTTTCAAACATTTTTTTGCAACTTTCGGTATATATTTGCTCATTTTGCAACTGTTTTGTACAATTTACAGTGTGGTTGGAAACTTTTTTTTGAGGAAAATTCATGCGCGCGCGGATGTCATCCATATAATCAAATCAACATGGCCTTAGTAGTGCAACTAGAAACCCCTTTCATCGTAAAACATGTTAAAAATCTCTTCCTTTATCTACTATAACTGAAAAGCGAACGTAACAAACTGTATGGAACGTAATTTTTCCATTTTGTCCTTTCTGCGCATTTCATTGATTCTTTGATTTCTTCTGTCTTTTTCCCCTTCTCTGTCCGTAAGTAGTGCAACTAGACAATCTTCCTTTGAAAAACATATCTGTTCTTTTAACTACTATAACTGAAAAGCGAACGTAACCGTAACAAACGGTATGGAACGTAATTTTACCATTTTGCTCTTATGCGTTTCTTTAATCCTTCTATTTTCTTCTTTCTTTTCTTCCTCTCTCTCTCTCTCTCTCTCTCTCTCTCGCTCTCTCTCTCTGTGTGTGTGTGTAAGTAGTGCAACTAGACAAATCTTCCATCGAAAAACATATCTGTTCTTATCTACTTTAAACTGAAAACTGTAAACTAGCGAAAAGCGAGGAGAAGGTGAATTTATCTAATTATAGCTAGTTTTATCTTCTATCTGTCAACTGTATCTGTTCATCATGTTTCGTTGTGACCTGTACTTAGCCCAGTGTGACAAAAATGTGCAATTTAGGTCGTCGTTGGTACATTATTACTGAATGTCGCTCTACCCGACAGGAAATATCTCTTCCAAGATGATGCTGTTTTTGGCGCTCGCGCTCACCATGGCGACAGCTCTGCCCGTGCCCAGGTGAGTAACTCCCAACTTTTTTTTCAGCTTTCTCTGATCATGAGAATTAAGGATATATTCAGGAACGGTTCTGGATAGTCCACGCGCATCCAGAACCGTGTTTAATCCATAACCATGTTCAAATACAGTTCTGGATAGTCCACGCGTATATCCAGAACGGCCATGCTTTATCCAGGACCTTGCTCAGGCACGGTTCTGGATACTCCACGCGTATCCAGAACCGTGCTACGTTCGTGAATACGCAGAGATTATCCAGGAACGCACCTAACTCCAACCCATCCAGGCAGAGCACTAGACAGGCGCGGTTCTGGACACGACATGTTGTCCCAACATCTCTGCCTGCATCCTTATTACTCTTCTCTGACACAAGAATTGAAGATTAAACAATAGCCGACGTTTCGATGACCGTCTGTCATCTTCATCAGGGCAAGTATAACTGGTTCACTGTGCACTGCTGACAATGCAGTCCCAGTTATGACTGTTGACTCGGATGCAGGTGACAACGGTCATCGAAACGTCAGTTCTTGCTTAACAACTGATTTTGAACTTTGCTATTCAGAGTAGAAGTTGTCCAACATCTCCGTCTGTACCTTCCCGCCCCACAGGAAGGGCGAGCAGTACTTCGACAACCTGGACATCAACGGAGACGGGATCATCACCCTTCATGAGGCGGACCACGGACTGAGCGTGGCCTCCATCTTCTCCGCTATGGACGCCGACTGTGAGTTAACTAGCTAACTAACTAGCTAACTAACTGGCTAACTAGCTAGCTAACTAACTAACTAGCTAACTAACTGACTAACTACACGGACTGAGCGTGGCCTCCATCTTCTCCGCTATGGACGCCGACTGTGAGTTAACTAGCTAACTAACTAGCTAACTAGCTAACTAACTACACGGACTGTCCGCGGCCCCTATGATCCTCTATCATCTCCGCTATGGACGCCGAATGTGAGTTAACTAGCTAACTAACCAGCTAACTTGGCTAACTAGCTAGCTAACTAACTAGCTAACTAACTGACTAACTACACGGACTGAGCGTGGCCTCCATCTTCTCCGCTATGGACGCCGACTGTGAGTTAACTAGCTAACTAACTAGCTAACTAGCTAACTAACTACACGGACTGTCCGCGGCCCCTATGATCCTCTATCATCTCCGCTATGGACGCCGACTGTGAGTTAACTAACTAACTAGCTAACTAACTAACTAACTACACGGGGTGTCCGTGGCCCCTATCTTCTCCGCTATGGACGCCGACTGTGAGTTAACTAGCTAACTAACTAACTAGCTAACTAGTTAGCTGTTAGTTAGTTAGCTAGTTTCTAACTTACCATGTTTCAGGTGACGGTTTCATCACGCGCGGACAGATCCTGTTCTACATGCGGGAGTTCGTGGAGGCGTTCGACACGCTGGACCTGAACGGAGACGGTTTCCTGACGGTTCAGGAGGCGGAGACGGCCACAACCATCGGCAGGGTGTTCGCCTTCTTCGACACCAACGGTAGGCCACCCTCCCTCC